TTCTTTACACAACTGTGATTGCTTGCAAAATGTATTTCTCATTGTGATTTACAGTATACCACAGATGTTTCTTTGTGAACTTTATTAAGTTATCCACGTTTTTTAAATAACAGCTGAACACCAGAGTCCCAGTCCACTGACAGTCCTAGATAAACGCAAGTAACACTCCAGAGCAAACAGAAAAAAAAAAAAAAAAAGACCCAGTGGATACAGAGGAAGCAACAAGAAGTTTTGGAAGAAACAAACAGAAGAGAACAAAAGTTTCAAAGAGCCTGAGCTGCTGCATCAAGGAGATTTACGTGAAACATTTTGACTTTACCCTCCTGGAAACTTTGATCTAAGGGTGGAGAGTGAGGTGGGTGAGGACAGGAAGGATTAGAAGGGAGAACAGAGGGCTTAATCTATTTCTGAATTTTGAAAGCCATATTAATGTAAGTTTTCAAGTTGCACTGTGGGTACGCAGCAGTGGCAATAACAAAAAGTTCATAAATTCTGTAATTCATCCTGTCATGACAAACATTACCAGGTTACAATCCTGCACTGACCTTAAGCACAGGTTAGGTTAAGTGACAAAATGTCAATTAGAAATTAACAGACTTTTGAAATATTTTCATATTACATAAAAAGCCATGATGGCCTCATTATATGAATTAAACTGATTAAATCCCAGTAACCATCAGAAAAATCTTTAGAGTTGAATGCTTTAAACTCTTACCAAGATTTAAGAGAGAAATAAAAAGGCACCTTTTTTGCTAAGATACCCAAATTTTCAATCATGTAATAAATGCCACAAACAGAATAAATACATTAGTGACACTACTAGACCACAGTAGAATCTGTGAAAACTACCTTGTTTCAGTTCATTAAGATGCTGCAATGGCTGCTCTGCAGAAAGCAGTCAATGGTCAAAAGAAACAGGTGACACCTTTGATGTGCAATTTCTAATTCTCTCAGGTATTTACATGATTAACAGCCTTAACATTATGCTCACCACGTTGCCCTGGTGGGCATGATACACCTCCTTGTCTTTGTCAGAAAGCATTGAAAAACTTACCCCATAAATTTCTTGCTCACATCTTTACTCTTCTACCTGAAAAGAGGAGTCATCATCATCACTGACAGTTCTGCTTTCCTCAGAGAAAGGAAGTTATCATCCAAGGAATGAGATAAAGTAATTCCTTTATTTCTCAAAAAGCCATGAATTCTTTATTTTGGTGCTGCTAGAAACACAGGAGACTCCCATGAAGAGTGACAGGATACTGACTTAGTGCCTATGCCTAAGGGCTGTTCATAATTAACAAGGGCTGTTCATAATTAACAGCAGAACTGCACATACTTTTTTAAAATCTTTTTTTAAACATCAATGTTCTCATGTACCTTCACCATCCAGATTATCCCTTCTTCTACAAAACTTCTAGAAAAACTTCTGTCATGTCCCTTCTTGACTGCATTTCCCTCATTAGCTGCAGAGCAGTGTAATAAATAGCTCTAAGGGTAACTGCCATTCCCCACCTTGCATAATGTAAGCACCTAATGAGAAAATGGGATCTCAAATACATTTCAGATGCATCACGCCTCCTCCAGAATGAAAAAGCCACACTGCAAGAACCAACTTGACATTCAGCCCTGGATCATACCACAAGGAAATCCTCGGGATTGTGAAGGAGAATAGCGTGTTCAAGTCACAGAAGAAACTCCCAATTAATTTTTTGAGAACTCCCACAAAACAGGAGTGCAACACTGCCAAATCTCCTCTACAGCCACAGGAAAGGTACAATTATCATTTAGCAACAAAACAGCAACTCCTCCAGGCAGAGCTAAATCACAAACTGAGCTAAATCACAATCATACTGAGAAACAGAAATCACTCCTCCTTTCACTCTGCCCTCAGGCTTATAATTAAAGGGAACTCAAGAGAGATCCTCTTTATTTTTATTCCTTGAAAACAAAGAGCCCTGTTGAGTCAGGGAATCCAGCTTCCACCAGAAACTTCTTCTAGTCTGCCCTGAAGAATGGTTTCCAGACATAGAAGGCAACAGAAAAATATGGTGCCTTTTTAAAAATAACATCAATAGATCCCTGTTAAATGCCTAAGAATTCAGCCTTAATTATGCTGAAAAGCTAGATGTTTTCAGATAAAAGGGAGACTGACACTTAGAAGTGAAGAGGGGCCATCACGGAACTTGAACAGTTGTTAATTATTACCTGTAAGAAAGCAAAGGGCTGACAGGAAGACAAAATTAGGTGCCAAATTCATGTTTCTGCTGAAACCACAGTTTTTAAGTGTCCACCTGGGTTAAAAAAGTTAAGCTCTGAGCTTGTTTTGGAGGTGCTCTATTAGTCCACTTGGACTGCTTTGTGAAAACATTCTGCTAGCAGGCCATTTCTGTCCTTCAGCCTGTGGGAGCCATCCCATGCCTGCTGCTGCTTGGGTTCATCCCAATAACTTCAATCAGGACACTCAGCACAGTGAGCAAACACCTCCCATTGTGGGATGAGAACCAGCAGAATCCACAGCTCTGCATCGAGGGCATTTCTGATGCAAGCCTCCCACCCAGACTGACACTGCCCAGGGCTCACAGACTTCCTGGAAGGTTCTTTCTGATAGGAGGCACCACCTCAAAGCCATGAAGGGCACATGGAAAATTCCAGGAAAGCTTCACTTCAAAGCACAGGCCTTTTTTTTTTTCTAGGTTAAGAAGATTATTTAACTATTTTGCAGGGAGGTTCTAGCATAGGCTAGTGCTCTACTGCAGAAATGTACACTCAGTACAGGCTTTCTCTGCAGGTTACAGTAAGCTTTGAAATTTTATTCTGGTGGCTCACTCAGAAACCTGTTTTATTGTCAGCATACAGTCATCCAGGTGACTAAACAGTGAAGTAAGCATTGCAAATTCCCTCCTCAGAGGAGATGCTGTGTAATCTCCAGACAGCACATCCAGGGCTGCTCTGCTGCACTTCAAGCAGTTATCTGTGCAACTACACCTTTATGGCTCCAAACACAGCTCTGTTTGACAGGTGTGTCCCTAGCAGCATGTAACCAGGAACACCTCAGTGGAAAACTAGCAGCTATTACATTTCTAGAAGCTAATGAATAATCCAGGTTTTTGACAGAGAACACTATTTTAAGAACAGCACAAATCTACTGATATGATTTTCCAGAATGTCTTTTTTAAGGCAGCTGAAGGAGAAAGGTTTGTGCTCCTGAAAGCTTGCCCACTTCTCTCTGAATGACTCAATCTAATAAAAGACACAGCCTCTCTCTAATAAGCACACCATCCTCCCTTGGAATGCTCTGGGACAGCACAATTCTGCTCAGGTTTGCATGCACCATGACATTGCTACTCTGCACAACAAAGCCCTTCAAATGCCACACTCAACCTTCACACACAGATGCCACAATACCACAAAGGGTATAAAAGGACTGCTAACTTTGAACTGTGCACTGGCACACAGAAAGGGCTGAACCTCCACTTTCTTAAATGTTCCAGTCAAGACTTTGGCTAAGCCTACTCAAAACCACTTGGGAATAATCCCAAATTAACTATTTGGTGAAGCTCTAGAATGAAAATATCCCTGATTTAGATTTAGTTCGGTCTATATTTATTTCAACACTTATCTTTCAAATAAAAAAAACCCCAAACTTAAGGGTGGGAGCACACTGATGCAGACACATCAGCCCTATGGGGACAGAACCTGGCACACTCAGTTCTGCCTTCTGGAAACTTCAACTGACTTTACAGCTCCTCTCCAAGGACCTTTATTTGGTGTTTTATTTGGTGCTTATTGTGCAACTCTCAGTGAACTTTTTCTAGATCTTTCACATGCTCACAGTGACTAGTGTACCAGAAATTACTTGTTGATGATGATGGTGTTCCTTGTTTCATGTGGTCCACCACATTTTCTTTGAACATGAACAGTTTGGGAAGATGCTGCCTCAAATTAGAGACCTATTTGCTGTCTGGTCTGTCTAGAGAAAGCAACAGCTTTGGGAGACAGAGTCAGTCACTGACTTTTATGAACAATTTCACAAAAAAAACCCAACTAAACCAACCAACCACAAACCACAACCCCCCCTACCCCCATTCAGAAGGGATCAAAGAGGACCCAGCAGCTTTTTCATACCCAGTAGCGAAATACAAAGAGTTACAGTAAACGGTATGTAAGCCTTGCCTACCAAACATTACTATTAAAAGCTTACACGTGGCCCAGTACCCTTTCACATTATCTGATTTTTAGAAAAAAGACGAGGCCGGCTCCAGCAGGGGACTGTAAACAATGCCAGGCTTCAGCCTTTCACAGAGCCCATGACCACAAAGGCTGTGAACATCCTCGGCTGCTCTGGAGGGTGAGTGGCACAGAAATGAGCCAGCATGCTTTCAACATTCTAGAGAGAAGCTGCTGCTGTCATTGCCGCAGTTGAGAGAGCCACCGTAATATCAATGGCATCCTTGACACGGCACTTATGTAACAATTAATTGTGGGGAATGTCGTGTTCCAGCGGGCGCAGGAAGCATTCCCCGGGGGAAGGCATTGCTTGTGTGTTCAGGGAGCGCCGGGCAGGCTCAGGAGCAGCCGGCGGTGCTGTTTGCCCTCGCACGGAGTTATCCCTTCCCTGAGCACCCCGCGAGCGGAGCGCGGCCAGCAGCCCCCTGGCTCGTGCCGAGGAAAGGCGAATCCCCGGCACGGCTCAAGAACGCCCTCGCTGTTTCAAGTGCCGTCAGTCGCGGGGCGCTGCCGGCGGGCGCACGCCGAGGCCGGGCTGGAGCCAGGGCTCAGGTTCGGGCTCCCGCCCTCAGCGCCGCCATCCTGAGGGGGCGGCTGAGCCCTGCACGTGACGTGACGCCGCAGGCCCGACAGCGCTGCATGACGTCACCGCGCCCGTCTTCCCACCGGCGACGCCTATAAATAGCCGCGCAGGCGCGCGCCCGCGCCGTGACGTCACGGCGGGCGCGGCCCCGCCCCGGCCGGCGGGCACGGCGCTGCCCGCGCTCGCTCACCTTCTATTTATATCGCGCCTTTGTTGCCGGGCCCGCCCCGCCGCACCGAGCGAGAGAGGCAGCGAGGGAGGGATGGCGTGGTGACGCCACCGCTTCCCGGAACGGCGACGCGGCCACTGGAATGCGCGCGGGGCTGCGCTGCCTTAAAGGGGCAGCGCGGGGCGGCCCCGCCCGGGGGGCGGCGCTGACAGACGGGCGCAGCTGCGGCGCCGGGGGGGCCCGCACGCCCCGCACCGCCCGCTCGCGCTGTCCCGCACCCCGCGGGCCGTGCCCGGCGCCCCGGGTGGGCCCGCCCCGGCTCTCGGCCGACGTGATGCTCCCGAGGGTGCTCCGGAGCCCTTCTCTCCATCACCGCTCCCGCCTCTGCTTACCCCGGATCGTGGCGGGCACGGGGAGAAGGGAAGCGCCGGGTCCTGCCCCGGCGCGCACATACAGCGTGTGGCCGCCTCCGTGGGGCAAACCACAAACACACATCGCTAATAAAGCCATGCTGGTTTACAGAGAAAGAACCCCTCGGTGTATTTCCTGAACGTTCCCACGCGAAACGCGAGAGAACCAAATACTACAAGTGGAGGCTTTCTGGTGATGTTAGGCATGAACTGTTTTACATAATAAAACACAATTTTTTTATTATCCTCCTCAGCCAGGAGCCGAGGGCTTCAAACTACAGGTGTTGTCCATAGTAGGTTATCTCTGGGTCGGGGATGTGCTCTGAAATAAAGCCCCTCACTCATTATAAGGTCGAGATGATGCTGTACCATCATATTTAGATCATGGCTCGCAGGGAAATCTGGGGGGTACTTAGTCACCTATGGCATGACCTTATATTCCCACTCAATTTAGTAACAACAGTTGGTTTCTTTTAGGACATGTGAGATTTAATTTATTAACAGTTTCTGGATAAGTGGAGGGAACTCAAAAAAGGCATGAGATGAGAGCTCAGCAGATGAAGGGGAAGTGCTCAGAGGGATGGAGCTCCCAGAGAAATGTAAGTCTTGTCTCCCTCTCAAATAGAACATTAATGGAAATGCAGTCACTTACCGATAAGAGATTTTTATTCCGTTGCCCTAGGTGATTTATTTTTTCCCGTCTAAAATTATATGGTTATGATTTTCAATTCAGCTGTTGCCTTTTGCTTGCTTTTTATTGTATAGCACAGTGAAATCTGTCAGAATGCTTGAACTCTTGTGTTCTGAGAATGATGTTTCAGCCATCTGGGGGAAAAAAATCTTTCCCTTTGCATTGAGGTGGTATATCCTATTCATCAGGATGGCACGTGCAAATATTGATATATGTTTGAGCATGTAAAATCCTGGTAGGCAAATACCAAAGTGTTGTTTGTAGTGGAACTTACATGTTCTAGAAAGAAAGAAGTGCTGCAGCTTAGCCCTGAGACAGCCAGTGTGTCACAGATGTTTGTCCCCTTGTCTTTAAACTCTGGAACAAATTCTGCTCTCGTTGGCCATTTGTCTGCTTTAAGCTGGGAGGAGATATGTTACAAGAACTTTTAGCTTGTTGAAGGACTTCTGGCTTTTTGCAATATGATCCAAACATGAGCTGAAGTGGTGGTTTTTTGTTTTGTTTTGTTTTTTTTCCCTAGCTGATCATTAGCATTAACTAAAGCAAGAAAGAGGTAAAAATAATAAAATATCAGAGGAGGTTGTCTCTGAAATGCAATCTAATTAAGATGTCAATTTAAATAAATCACTTACTGCCATTGAAATTAAATAATGAATGTGAAAAGCTGTTTATCTATGAAAGAGATCTGAAGTTTTCTTGAAAAAGTAATTGTTTAAAAATTCAGTATTTTTCATTCTTGCTCTTATAAATAATCAGGCAGGGCATTCTCTTACCAATTTTATGTTTCAGTGAATCTAAGTTTGATTGTCACTTAAGCTTCTCTGTGAGTAATTATTATCCCAGTTTCATGTCACTCATTAAATGAAAGTTGTTTTTTCCCCTAAATCCCCTAACCTACTTCTGTCATGCCAACAGGAGCATTCAGAAACTGGCACTGAGGTGCAGCTCTGATAAAAGTTTTCTGTTTCCCTATGACTCATTTGACATTAACATAATTATGCTACAGGAGTCAAAGTGATTTTCCAACTATGAGTAATGCACAGCACCAGACCGAATGTTTACAGGACACCGAGGCATATCAGCCAGCTGAAGTAACCAGCTGCTGATAACAGCTGAAGTAAGTTGGGGAATTAAAAAGCCTTCTAGCACAATTGCCCTCCTTTGGCACTCGGTGTCCTGCGGGCTGGGAGGTGTCTGTGCCCCGCGGGGAAGGATCCAGAAGCAGGGCTGCACCCGTGGGCAGTTCACACAACAAGTTCTTCATAGTTCTCTTCCCACTTGCATATTTATGGCAGAGTCGTGCTCAAAGGGGAGCAGTGATCTTTTCAAGAAGCGGCTGTATTTACCAGAGTTCCTTTCAAAACACAAGTGACACACATCCTCTCAGCCAGGAAAACAAGATCAAAATGAAACAGCAACAACCCAAAAAATGAGATCATCTCACAAGTGCTTTGAACCATGTGTATGGGAATAGCACAAAAGAAGAAAACCAATAAGGAAAAGGCAAAATTGGGTACTGTTACCACAATGAGATATCTTTTCTCTGTAATTAAAGTATCTGTGCAGGTTATTGATAAAAAGTACAGAGAAGAATTACAATGAATATGTTCTGGATTAATAGCAGAAACAGTAACTACAGATTGTGTTAGCTATATGAAAAAAACCCTAAAAATAAAACAAAATCTTAGTGGTCAAGACATGTTTCAAGTATTTCCTGAAATTTTTAGAAATTACTGACTTCTCAGGATTTTAAAAAGTAATTTGAGAAATAGGTTAATTTTTTTTTCTTGGTTTGTTTCCACACAAGTAGATTCTTGATGGAAACTGGGTCACTTTGTATTTATAAGTTTGTCAAGTTTGGCTGCATATCCTTCTGATGAGGCCTAATTCAGAATGTGCTGAGCACCCAGGACATCACTAGTTCAGTCTGTCCCGTGAGGATTAGCTGTGAAGGTGGAAAGCTAATTTTGAAATACCAACTCAAACCCACTACAATTTGCTAGAGTACTACAGTGGAAAATAACCCGTTAACAACTTCCTTATAAAATACACAGCAATACAAGCAGGGGAAAGGGTCAAATGCAGAAAACAGTGCTGATAGCAGAATTGTTAGTAGAAAGAATGTATTCCAGGAGACATATCTGAAGAATTCAGAAAAAAATTGCACGTCACACTGCATTCTTTATTTCACAAGAAAATCTGCTGAGGTCAGATGCTTGGCATGCTCTGATTATCATCACTGACTCTTGAGCTGGATGAGGACCAGAAATAGGGAAAAAAATTTTTCATGGCTGAGGAAAGTTGGAGGAGGAAAGGTTTGCCACAGTACCTTGTGCTTACAAATTCCCCATTTGCCAGGAGAGTCAGGACTTGGAGGTTTTCTGTTTTTTCTGCTATGGTTTTCATGCTGCATGACGATGGGCAGACTCTAAATCTGTTTCCTTCAGTTTGACCAACTCTTACTTACTAAGGGATGGCTTCGTGGAGATGGCATTCCAGCTGCTACTACAGTGACCAGCATGAATGTATTTAACAATGTTGATAAAATCAGACAGCAGAACCCAAACAAAACATAAACAGACCAATCCATGCCCTATCAACAGAAATAAATTCTCACAGCAAAATTTAGCAGTCTTAAATTTAATCTGATTTGCTATAAGCTCACCCAGGACTGCAGTTTTATAACTACAAACATCCACCTCCATAGCATGCAGTGCCACTGGATTTTCATCTGCTTTTGCCACTTTTAATTACCAATATCCCTAACTATCAAAGCTCAGCCCTCAACTCAGGTGGCTAAAATGCATTCCAGTATTACCAGAGCAGGTTCTTGTACTTCAGGTGTTATTCCTTAGAGTAACACAACAGGAGATATTTGTAACACAGTTCTGATCAGCTCCATACCTACCTGGAGTCTCCTAATAAAGCAGCCTTGAAAGCAGCACCTCTGCAACACTCTGCATTTCTACCTCTTCCTTTCCCACTTGGCTCCAGAATAATTATCTTCTTTTAACAATGTTCAGAGCAGCTGTACCTATGTCCCACATTTTTTCTTCTTGGGGGAGCTGCCATGTATTTGTAACATTTATTTCACAGTCTGCAGTGAGCATACAACCTGTGCAAATTCCAAGTATTTAACCTTTGTTCCTTGTCAAAGCTTTGCAAATTAACTTAAAATAGCAGAGTGGAATAGGCACCAAGGGGCATTTTCTGGAAGTAACTGATAACATCTTGCAAGTACTGCTTGCCCTTACTGGTTGGTTGGCTTTTGTTGTTAGCTTGTTGTTCAGGCTGAGCTCCCAAAACAAAACTTGCACAGACAGAAAGTCATTATGGTTGTAGAGAGCATGTAAAAGTAAACAGATCTATCAAGACCTGGCTTATTTTCTAAAATATAGGAAAATTAGCTGATAGTAATTTTTTGTGAGTTTTCAGGGTATATATATATATTGTAACAAGGCATAATGTTTCTGTAATGAGAATAACTATTTTGGTGATAACTGGTAATATGTTACTGCGAAGCAGCAGCAGAAAACAGTTGGAAGTACGTACCCATGCAGACAGCAATGAAAATAATTTCTTCCCATTCTTACCTGACTCTCAGTAACCCTCTCCCCATAGTTTATTCTATGATGTCATGTGTCAGGTCCCTTGTGTGACTCAGTACTTTTCAGAAATATTATATATTGTAATAGTTATACTTAGAAATATTAAATATATTAATATATGCCTCTGTTAAAATTGATGATATATACAGATTTATTTTTATAGTTTGTTTCACAGAACAACTTCTCTTGGAAAAATGAATTTATTGAGGCATAAATTTTAACACTGAAAAAGCAGACCTTAGATTTTGTGCTATATTAAAGCTCCGTCCTGCTCACACCCATGCACACACTTAAATTTAAGCATATGAGTGGTACCGAACTCCCTGTGATTACGTGCACAATTAAAATTAAACATGTGTGAAATTCTTTCAGGTCAGAATTTCCAAATTCTTTCACTTGTTTAGAGTAAAGAAAAAACCCAAACCAGTAACCACTCATTCATGTAATAAAATTGCAGTGATATTTATGTCAAGAGACTTACTATCATTTGATAGGAAAAGTAGTTTATAAAACAAATTTTTACTCAACAAAATTAAACTCTCCAACACTGTGATTATGTGCCTGAGTGGCTGACTTTTCTAGTGGGAAAGAGAAATTGATTATTTAACTTTGAGTGTCAGCTGAGATGAATATTTTTATTTTAGAATAAGGTGGCATGTTTCTAAGAAGAGATGATTTTTTTTTAATGTGTACATTTCATTCTTCTGTCAACATGAGTTTAATGTTTTCAGAAAAACTCTGAACAGCATTTTATTTGGTATGGAAATCTGCATTTTGTTTACACGTGGTGCTGAGCTTTGCTAAATCACTCATTAAAGTGTTCACATGATAGATCTGTCTCATTGCAAGTTCAAAATAGATGGTTGTGAAAGTATTGAGACTTTCTGCTCTCAGAACATTTCCCCACCTCTTTATAAAAGAG